TATTCAAAAGGGATATGGCCTAAATATCGATGTTCAAGGGCATTAGGGTGACCGGCGGAAGCAGAATTCTTATGGCACTACTCTAGATGACACAATATTTATTTCCTTCAAAATGAGGAGCTGGCGAACAAAACGGTAGAATTACGCATCTGGTCAAACTTTTTTTTTACATTCTGGAGGTTTCGAGCTCGTCGAATTTGAATCTCAAATAATTTTCAATCAAAACCACCTAAAACAGTGGTAAAATTACTAAAGGAGATTGCTCAAATTGGCCTAAATGCACAAAAAATAAACAAGTGTATGTCAAACACGGTAATTCTTGGCGTAATTTATAATTTAATTTACAGTCATTAGATTTCAACGGACACCTTTGTATAATATATTTACTTTAAAGAGGACTTTTAATTTTACCGGTTTGGAAAACATACGAATCATTTTTAATGGCTATGGGTGTAGTAACATTCAGCCAAAGACTGATCGAAGTTGTTTATATATCATTAAAACAAATCTATTTTGTAAAGATCGATAAAATAAATCATATTTTTATTACACTGTGGTATTAATATCCACAACTATATTATCATTTTCACTAGATGCAAATGTGCTCAGACAATTATTATAGATGGTAGGCGACATCATAAAGCCTATTGCAATACATTTTTCGCCAAACACCTCCATAAGCACATTATAATCTGTATATATGTTAGACTTTAAGGTATCTATCTATGGGCCTACGTTCCCTGACTATAAATTAATAATTAAATAAAATTATAAGGTCTGATACACTAAAAGTCTCAAATATCTTAAAAACATAACAAAAATAATGAAGCTACTATATATATGGCTATAGAACCTAAATCTCTTAGCTTTCTTTGGTTAACGAGAGTTTAAAAATTCTCTCTAATCTGTGGCTCATTCACAATCATCACACAGTTTCTGTCACAGAGTACCTTATTATAACCGGAAATGACACCTGATTTTAAAAGTTACTCTTATGCATTAACTTTAAAAACAGGCAACTATCTGTTAATCTACATGCTCTATATACCTGAATCTAATCCATAATTTTGGTATTTGGCTTGATTTCCCTAGTTTACTATATAATTTATTTGTTTTTTATTATTTTAATATGTTCAGTGTATATGGTTTATAGAAGTTCTCAGGGGTGTCCGTCAATAATATTCGTGTCTACAGTAATTTATATATAATTTCGAATCTAGGAAATATATTTCATGATTATTGGTCTTTAGGCCAAACATGTATGGAAGCTGAGCAATCTCCTTTATAAATTAAAAACAATGTCAAAAGCTCTCTGGAGGCATGTCATTCAGTTTTATATAGCTCCTGTAATTTTTAGTTTTATGTATTTACTAGCGGCCCGCCCTCGCTTTGCTTCGGTGTAGAGCTGAAGTATAAACTACAGTTTTTGTTCTCAGGCTTGTATTATACACAATGACATTCACCTATGATTCTTCTTATACCTGCATGCAAAGTCTCAGCCCGATCGGTTTAAAATTGATTAAGTTTCATACAAACTTTCATTCCCAATTTTATCCCCTTGGGGGTAGAATTGAACAAAATCCTTTCTTAGCGGATGCCTATGTCATAACATCTACCTGCATGCCAAATTTCAGCCCGATCTGTCCAGTGGTTTGGGCTGTGCGTTGATAGATCACTATGTCAGTCAGTCACCTTTGAGTTTTATATATATGTTACCGGCCAAACCCGATTTCAGGACAAACTAGTTTTGCCTAGGCTAAACTGGTTCTTCCTATGCGCGATAGGATTAACTAGTATAGCCTAGTCCAAACTAATTTGTCCTAAGCCCGATAGGATAAACCAGTTTAGCCTAGGCCAAACTAGTTGATCCTGATAAAAATACGCATACTCTAGGATAAACTAGTGTGGCCTAGTGTAAACATTATAGTATATCTAGAAAGTCAAAATAAATAGATAAACTGAATAAAATAATCCGTAATTGGAAAAATAATATTTTTTATTAAAACCATAATGATTCATCGTTACAAGTTATGGATAATTAGTAATACAAAGAAAAGTAAGAAAAGTTTAATTTTTCTAGTAAACTTTTCTTTAGATTTAAACACCTAGCAGTTAAATGCTTAAAAATAAATAAAAACAATAACTATAATTGCTATTTCTTCTTTCAAATGTTTAATACTTGAAAAAGTATTCATTTGACATTGTGGGTTGCGTGGTTGCAACCTACAATGCGAAGAGATGGCGCTGCCTTGCAGCTTAAGGCTAGGAAAATTTCGACGCGGCGAATAGGGCCGTGGTAGCATAATGGTCAGTGCATTCGCCCGGATTGCGAAGGGTGCGGGTTCGAGTCCGGTCCGCTGCCTGGTCCGCGTGGTTTTTTTTTCTAGTAAACTTTTCTTAAAATATTTTGAGTTTACAGTGAGATGAATTGTAAAAGGTTCGAATGATTCGGAATTTCTTAAGCCGGGTAGTTACTCATTGGCGAGCTGTAACCATAACCGTTGCACGCACTGTAACCAAAAAGCATAGTGTGTACGTGGTTCGATAACCTGCTGCGAGAACGGTACGCGTGCGGTTTGAAGCGAGCCAACGTTCACAACTGAGCTACTAGCGTACACACTAGAACTTCGTACTGTATCACGCATGTTACGGTAACAGATCGCTAATGCGTACCCGGCTTTACTGTCTTCCGAACTCCCGGCAACAACAAAAGAGTTAAACAAAAACCAATTACAGAAAAAACACTCCCTCCACTTTCTTCCAGCGTTCTTTTTACATGACGCGCCCTGTACAAGTCCTGACATGTCTGTTCAATTACTTTCCGCTTTGCTAAATTGGTTTAGACTAGGTCGTACTAGTTTATCCTAGAGTGTGCGTATTTATATCAGGATCATCTAGTTTGGCCTAGGCTAAACTGGTTTATCCTGTCGCGCTTAGGATAAATTAGTTTGGACTAGGCTATACTAGTTAATCCTATCGCGTATAGGAAGAACCAGTTTAGCCTAGGCAAAACTAGATTGTCCTGAAATCGGGTTTGGCCGGTAACATATATAGAAGATACCGTTTTGTTCGCCAGCTCCTCAAATATGAAATAAGTTGTGGATTGTTATAAACTGACCATATAGTCGCTAACACTATAGTTAATATTTATGTCTACTGGTTTGCTAACATGTACCTTGTGCATTATGAATACCCGATATTTCGGCACTGTTGCAAGCACCATATTCACGGAGTTACAGTGTAAGCCCATTAATAAATAAATATTTACTCTTGAGGGTATAATAGTTTAAAGACGTTTTTAATTCTGTAGCTGCACTTTTTCAGTTAAACAGCATAAACATCCATGTAAACCCGGGGCGGATGCTAAGTATAATTTAATTAAAATAGGTAATAAAAATCTGAAATATATTTTTTATAGAAAAAAAACCACTCGCATAACATACTTTTATACTTATATTTTGGTTTAAATCCTACCTAAAACCCTTACCTCCTTAGCACGAACCAATATCAAATTCGAATAGTTGAATTCGATATCGATTCTCGTCAAATGCCAAGAAGTTTTGTATATAGATTTGAGCAACTCCACAATGGACGTAACGAGAATTAATACTGTTCCATACAAAAGTTCTTGAGATTTGGCACGTTTCGAGATCGAATTCAGTTATTCGAATTTGATATTGGTTCGTGCTAAGGGTACAGGTTTCAGGCAGAATTCAAACCGAAATATAAAAAGCGTAAAAGCGTTTATAATATATAAGCGTAAAAGTATAGAATAATAGTTCGAATAAAAATTTTGAAATGCCATGGCAAAATAATTATGGTAAAGTATAAGGAAACTGTTGTAGGCGATGAGCTAGCAACTGTCACCCAACCACAGCCAGTTATGTTAAATATATTCGTGTAGATCTGGGCTATGGCAGTAAATCTTTACATCATTGATTCTATTTATATTCAATTAGCTTCCGCCCGTAACATCGTCGGCTTTATAGTCAAAGGGGTTTTTGAAATTCCCAAAACTTTATTCCGGGCAAAATATTCTTTTGTCTCGATTCTGTCTCAATTCAGGTAATAAATTATAGGTCACAAAATTCCAACATTTTAAAATCGGTCAAGTCAACAAGCTTGCCCGATTTAAAGCATTGGAATTGAAAGAACACTCGAAAAACCGTTTTAGTGGTGCGGTCTGTTGATAAACAATGAGATGTTAAATTCAAGTGTCTATTCTCATTGTACCTACATAACATAATTAATCTTTCGAACTATTTGACCTACGAACGTTTATCAGCTAAAAGAAAGAATTTCGCTCACAACTAAGTATACACAAAATAATCTTACACCAATCAGGCGTAGTTAAATCGAGATAACTCACTTCAAGGTGGGTAACATTAAATTTTATCTTGCCGCATAAATTTAGACCGTGGACGGAATAAACCGGCGCGTCGTTGGGCATACCCAATGCGGTTTTATCGGTACACTGCAACTTGAGACCAGCTAATGGAGTTTCGTGGTAGGGACGACCACCCGAGGGCAAGCTTTTAGAAAATTCCAAACTATGCAACGATGAGAGAACGTTGAGGTCGTCTAGATAAATATAATATTGGTTGACTACTACGAAAGATCCTTTTAACCCTTTTTGGGTTTTTGTTAAAACTAAATGAGATTAAACAAAAGTAAATGAAACAAAATGATATTAAACTTCAGTCCCCGCAGTGATAAACAAAGAATAGGCTAACACTGGCTATATCTCTCAAATACCATTTGTTATTCAATGAACAGAGACCAAAATGGAGTAACTAATCCAAGCTTATTCTACGTTTATTAATAAGGGGCAGAAGTTTATTTTTGTTAGTATTATCAAGGAAAGTGTAAAGAAAACAAACTCCTGTTAAAAAAATGACGGCAAAGAAAACCAATTGTTCATTTCTTCACAAACTTTACAATCACGTTGATGTAACAAAAGTCCGATTATTGAACTAAAATTAATATTTAGTTTCAATTCAATGAAAGCTCGATGGCGCAAGTGGTTAGCGCGTTCGGCTGCGATAGTTGAAGTTAAGCAACTTTTGCAGTGGTCGGTCATTGGATGGGTGACCAAAAATTTACTATCTCGACTTCGTCTGTGCTTCGGAAGGCACGTTAAGCCGTTGGCTCCGGCTGTATCTGCAGTCGTTAGCACCCACCAATCCACACTGGGCCAGCGTGGTGGGTCACGGCCCAATCTCCCTATTCCATCCATAGGGAAGGCCTGTGCCCCAACATTAATAGGCTGATGATGATGATGAAAGCATAACTTCGATTATAAATCAAAATTAAAAACCAAATCGTATCGTGGAAATTGCTCGTGTCCTTAGTAGTAAAACAACTTATACTACAAAAATTGCACTCAGTCCAGATTTCAGACATGATAGCGGAAGGTGCGGATTCGAATCCCGTCTGAAACCTGAAAGCTGGACCGGGTGAATTATTTTCTATAAATTTTCTTTAGATTAAACTGAACTTTTACGCATTTTTGATGCTTTTCCAAATCAGTATAGACTTAATAAAGATAACTAATTTTGTTTTTTCTTTGTCTACAGCTGCGTCATGGTGTGAAGGAGCTCGAGATGCGTCGTGTCCCAGGATCTGTGGGCCGGCACTACAAGGGGAGCCTGTGTGTGCTACTGACGGCTACATCTACCCATCACTTTGCGAGATGAGAAAAAAAACTTGTGGAAAAGGTAACTTTAAGATTTTTGATATTATAATAATGGCAAATCATTAACGCTACCTCATGTTTTATAAGAGAGGAAGGGTATGACGATAGATTGTTGATCATACTCGAGTGCCTAGGATTTCCTATCCTCATTATGCCTTCTACCATCACACGTCCAGACGCAGGGCAGATTATCTTTCTTTCGTGGTGCCGTTCCTTCCCTTTTCACCAAAATCTTCTCGATACTTTTATAATGCTTACAGGGTAGTAGTGGAATTTTCTGCCTGCGTCTATGTTTCCGAGTACATATATTCCGGCTCTTTTTGCAGCCAGGGTAAATAGGCTCCTTCTGGATAAGCCCGTTACACCGTAGATCACATCTCTGCTCTCGGGCTATAAAAGATCAAGAGCTTACCCATTAAAAAAATTGTTCCTCAACCTTTAGTTTATAGCCAAACATATCAAACATTCTTAAATGTGGGTTTTTAATTGATTTTTTGGATTTATTCTTGACCTCTATTCATCCTGCGAATATTCTTCTGTAAAAACACTTATTAAGGACTAACAATGAACCCAGCAGAGACCCCTAGAAAAAATCATTATTTTTATGAATCTAACAGTTAAATGCTTAAACTTACAATGTCATAAGAACCTATTAATGATGTATGGACAGAGATCTCCACTTTCAAGCAATACTTAAAATAAAGACAAACCATCTTCTGACAAGACTTGGGAGTATGTAGTGACCCTTCATCCCGACTGTCACCACTGGTGAAAGCTAATATTACATTTTCCCTTTCAATGGTTGGAAATGGTTATTTTCGCGGTTGTCCCCAGTGGGAATAAAGCTAGAGGTGACGATTAGGAGCAACCAAATAATTCCTTTGTTTTGAATTATATAACAGAACCATCTATACATAAACTTTTTGCGTTCCAGGTGTTCGGTTGGCACCTGACCAAGGTTCCTGCTCAAGAGCCCAAGGCTCCAAGTGTGAGCACCGTTGCACCTCCGAGAGGGATCCCGTCTGCGGAACCAATGGCAGAACTTACCTGAACAGATGTATGTTACAGGTTGAAATTTGCAGGTAAATTCTATTGTGTTCAGGTATTTATGTAGGTAGTAGAGGTAGAGGATCTTTAGTAGGTTTAAACAATCTTCAATATATATGCGTAATAACGGACTCCTTGAATCGGCATTTGAGAGTATAAAAACTAGCGAAATAGTTATATTTTTTTTGTTTTAGTTCTATGCACTAAATTTAATACTTAATTCATCAAGATGACGATTTTGATTTCACATTTTTATTCCTGTTTTCAATTTAAATATTAAGTTTAGTTAGTTGGCAGCCGATACATTTAAGAATTTAAATTTGCCGATTCAAATATGTATGGGTCAAGTAATAACTATGAACTTCCACGATATCGGATGCAATACCATACTTTTTAAATACAATAGCGAAAACATTTAATAAAATGTTCCACGAAACAGGTGAAAAATGTATGCACTCTTAGGTCTTACTTATTGGGTATCGAAAAAAATATGTCCGATTCAAGAATCATCTATTCGGTTTCCAAAATCAGTCTGATTTCAAGAATTTTATATGGAAGTTTTTCAAATACCTCTCTTTAATCATTTTCAGGGTCGGCATCGGCTTGTCCCACTTGGGCGCGTGCAACAACATCAGCGCGCACAGAGAAAACTGCCCCGTCGATTGTTCGCAAGCTCCGCTCGACGGTCCCATATGTGGGTCCGACGGCAACGTCTATAAAAGCACGTGCCAGATGAAGCTGCTTACTTGCGGGTAACTACCTTATCTCATTTGTTTTTAAATTATTATAGTTAGTGCAGTTCTTTGGGCTATGCAGTCCTCATTGAAACTGTAGTCACTTCAATCTTAAAATAACGGCAAATTATTGTTTTGAAAATTGTTTATAACCTTACAAATTTTACAATCGTGTTGATGTAAGGAAACTCCAATTTTTATTAAACCTTTGAGAGGAGAGGGCACAGTAGATTTACCGCTTGTATTGGAGCGCCTATCTGGGAACTTCCACCTTTTCAGAAGACCACGGTAAAAAAACACTACCTTTTGGTGGTGTTGTGTTTCTGCTGGTGAGTAAAGTTCCAGGGAGCGCAACTTTTTTCATACGGGGCAACAACTCCACTCCACTCACTCCGTTAAGTGTGAGTGGAGTCTAGTTGTGAAGGTAGATGATGCGGCTGAAGGTGTACCGCTTCAGCTATCTTCACCTTACCATCCTAAACCTAATCCTCTACCCTAAGGAGCTGGCACTCTACTCACCAGCAGAAACACAACACCATCAAAAAGAAGTGTTATTTACCTCTGGTCTCCTGCCAGGTGGAAAGGTTTATAAATTATTACTGTTACTTGATTATTTTGGGCTATGTAGTATTTAATGAAACTGTTCTGCGACTTAAAAGATCGATTATGCCAGCAAATCAAAAATTGGCTTTTAACCAGCTAACTTCTAAGCGGCTCAAAAAAAAAGTCCTGGGTTTTAAAGTTCATATAATAATTGTCATTCCTGATGTACCGTATACTTCGTTTATAGACGAGATGCTACATTTAATTAAAAGGCGTTTTGGTGTTTCGTGCTACTGCTTGTTTAAACTATCTGCAAACGTTAGTATCGCCTGATTTCATATACTGTAGGTACCTGCTAAGCTCGAACCTTGACTCTACTAAAATTTTAGATAACAAGAGTAGACAAGACAATTATAGTTTGGAATAATTATTTCAGACAAGGAGTGGTGCGTACAAACAAGAAGCATTGCCAAACAACGCGTCACTGCCGCGAATCTTGCTGGAGGGTAGCTAGACCCACTTGCGGCTCCGATGGGAAGCTGTACGCAAACGCTTGCAGAATGAAGGCTACTAACTGCGGGTAAGGGGTTTTTTGTGTTGATTCATCATCGTCCGCCTGTTGATGTCTTTACTGCTGGGGCACATGCCGTCCCTCTCCCTGTCCCCGAATTGGAAGATTGGGCCGTGACCCACCACGCGAGCCCATTGGTGGATGCTAATGACTACTAATCGAGCCGGCACCAACGGCTTAACCTGCATTCCAAAGCAGGGTTTGAAAAATATATGCAAGATGAAAGGGATAAGGTAGCTAGATATTTTAATAGATGACTTAGGACTTGCAGTCTATCAGAAGCCTGAGAACTGTTCATTATTTAACTGATAATTTAAATCTTGCTTGGGGATTGCTCGTTCAACTTGTACCGCCGATGGCGGTTAAATGGTATTAACTGTGTAAGAAATTTTAATTTCATTGGTTCGAATAATGGAAGATGGCGAAGACTAGAAACTTCTAGGAAAAAATGTACTAGCAATGAAATAAAGACAATTAAAATCAGTACCTATAGACAAATCCGTATCATATGTCATGAGAATTGTGTATTTACTTTGCATCATATCCACGATGGAAAGGAAAAAACAAATAGAGCGCCATTTAGTAAATTGTTCATCAGCGCTGTTTAAAGTTTAAAATAAAAAAATGATTATAACTTTTTTATATATATTACTTTTTTTAATTTAGTGAGCAGATCATGTTTTTGGGCTCTGTATTTTGTATTAAATTTAAATGAATTTAGGTCAATAATTTAAGGAAAAAAAGGTGTTTAATTTTAATGAATTTTGAATAAGCAATTAAGTGCTTTCAATTGGCATTCATTTTTAAAAGTCACTTTTGACCAAAGTAGTTTTTTTCCTATTCGCCGTCGATATTATTAGCACATATTAAGTGGCTTAGATTTATTACCAAATCGTTGACAAGGCTGAAAAAATCGAGCCTATAATAAAAATGAAGTATTGTGCCATAAACCTTTAAGGTATATTCCCTAGCAGTGGGGACATTAATAAGCTGATGATGATGATGATAGTACGGTCATTTATTATATCGTGACAACAGCAAAAGTATTATATATGTTTATATTAACATAATGCCTTGTTATATCTATATAAAGATCGTCTAAATGTATTTTTAAGGACGTTAGGTCTACTACTAACGTCCTTAAAAATACCTTTAAACGACCCTTTTTATATCTCTCAATTTAGTGATAGACACAATTAATATATATAAGGATTTAATAACAATTTACTATTTCTTAAAGGCTTACTTACTGTTAACATTTGTTGATGTTCAAAGACCTTTATGGATCCTTATCTCTCACTCTGATAGCACAATCAGACAACATAATATATTTGAATACGTATTATTAAATCTACCCGGTATGAAACATAATTAACGAATTAGACAATGAACAAATAAATCAACGACAGCAATCACAATTTACCAGATTTATCAATTTATTTCAGAATATAAGTATATATTTACTTAAATGATATTCCCAATCGCAACGCAGAATAGAAAATTATTGTATCAAATAAAGAATTTGTATTTTGTTTGTAATTGTATCTAACTCACTACGGGTTATACAACTTTAGAGAAGATATTAATTAATAAAAAGTCACTGGAAACAATTACTGAGAGTTTGTTGAGATAATTTACACTACTACAGCAGTCTATAGAATACACAGGAAAACTAAAGTTAAAGTATGGCGAAATAATAGTTTTACGGTGAAAAGATAAGAGTGAGAACGCGCGATTGATAAGGCTACCGGATAGACACTTATTTATAAATTCAAAATTTTATTATTAAGAAACAATGAAATTGATAAATTATAAAGTAATAACTCACGCAGCGAGTCATATTGCTGACGTATTTACCTACTTATTAGTTCGATGTGCGGCTAAACACGTACAAACTCTATTTTGATGACCATTAGACAAGGGGACTTATTATCATCGCCATTTCTAAGGAACACCGCGCTCAGGTCTTATCCGAGACAAAAATTATTTAAATCGCCATACTATGTCATTAAATATATTTCAGTTCTCTACCTCGAGACTAAAGCAATGTAATTAACGTCATATCTTATTTTTATAGAAAACACGTCTTCGAGGTGCCCATGGCGTTCTGCGTATCCCAAGAGAGAACTTCTGGTGGCGAATCTTGTGCTACTGACTGCTCCGGACAAAAGGAAAAATTGGTCTGCGGTTCTGATGAAAATATTTACAGAAACGAATGCGAAATGAAGATGCTGAATTGTGGGTAAGTATGTCATTGATTTTTTTATTATTTTTGTGGACCAAGAGTAATGAAAGGAATAACGGATTCACATCTTTGGATATTTGAAACAAATGTTTTTACTAAAACTTTTTATGTGAGGAATCAAACGTTATTTATATTTTTATTTTGAACATTTACCCTATAGATTAATTAGTTGTAAATGTAAAGCAAGTTGTGTGATTTTTATTAAGAAAAATTTTCTTTTGAAGTAATTATTAATATCAATATAAACTTTTCTAGTATTATAGATATTACATTATGTAATTGTGTCAGATAGTAAGTCCTGATAGTGATTTATAAGAAATATGAAAAAGAAATTAAAATAATATAAAGAACTAACATGTATTAATGCCAGTAAATAAAATCAATAAATCTTTTAAAATGACGACCTCCGTGGTCGAGTGGTTTCATGGTGTCGCCGACTCGAGAGGTCCCGGGTTCGAATCCCGGTGGGGGCAGATGTTTGAGTGATGAATACGAGCATATGTATTCCAGTCATGGATGTTTAATATGTATTTCTATATAAATATACTTATATATATATGTACAGTATATGTATTCTATCCGTTACACTAGTATCCCATAACACAAGCTTTACAGAGCTTACTTTGGGGCTAGGCTTAATGGGTGTGTGTTGGAAATATATATTTTTTATTTATTATAATTACTGTTAGACCTGACCCCAAAATTTTATCGATATCGCACACCCGTTTTCACTTTTCAACAATGATTTTATTTTTTCATTTAAAGCGTCAGCAACAGAAAAATTGTCAAGAAGGTGGATATGGATAAATGCAAATCGAAGATGAACAAGTGCCTCCGAGTGAAATGCTCCACAGATTATGACCCCGTGTGCGGCACTGACGCCAATGTCTACAACAACCCTTGCCATTTGAAGGTGGCGACTTGCCTGTAAGTGTATTTTCTTACGTGTAATGTTTAAGTTTTTTTTATTTTTAAAATGGTGGCAAATAAGCATATGGCTCGTATGATGGTAAGCGAGCGGCCGCCATAGAAGATTCATCATCATCATCATCATCATCAGCCTATTAATGTCCCCACTGCTGGGGCACAGGCCTTCCCTATGGATGAAATAGGGATTGGGCCATGACCCACCACGCGGGCCCAGTGCGTATTGGTGGGTGCTAACGACTGCAGATGCAGTCCAACGGCTTAACGTGCCTTCCGAAGCACGGAGGAGCTTGAGATAGTAATTTTTGGTCACCCATCCAATGACCGACCACTGCTAAAGTTGCTAAAGTTCAACGATCGCAGCCGAACGCGCTAACCACTTGCGCCATCGAGCTCCTCATCTCTAGAAGATTGCGTTACCAAAACTATCGCACGCGCCGTTTCTCCTAGATTTTCTTAAATTATCGATAGGGATAACGTATTTTTTTCATTTTTTTATTGACTAATTAGTACAACATTTTAATCTAATGTTTGGATTTAATATTGTACTAGTTAGTACCCGCAATTAGTTGATTAAATAATCAAAGTGCCCGAACCAATTACCAGCTCTCCTTGCATGAGCACCGCGATATGATTTATGTAACACGTTTTATAATTGTCAAATTACTATAGTTTAACAGTTAGACGCGATAAAAACCGTGATATAATATAAATTGTGATACTCATGCTACGGGGACTGGATCACGTATCAAATAACTTCAAAATACGAACTTAAGTTTCCTTTTTCTCCAATTGATAAAGTCTATTCGATATTATCATCGCCATTGGTTAGCAATCTATATATATGTTACGCTCAAAGATCGAAAACGCTCAGTGAGCGGAAAAATAGCTCATAACGCGTTGTGGTCACAGTAAAACATCCACGTGGCGAAATTCGTGTTATGGCTCTTATGAAAACGCGCACGACGCGTTGTGGCAATCACAGAAAGACCAAATAGCGAAATTCGTGTCGTGGCTGACATGCTATTCGATCTCAACGCGTTGTGGCAATGAAGAAAAGCCATGACGCGTATGGAATATTATTTGATTACGACGCACTCTACTTTCCGATATCCATTATCCGCCTAGGCTGGAAACGTTTTGGTGGATGTCTTTAGGAATTATTTTTTATTTTATAAAATGAGTGCATAACGTGTTTGTCATTATTATTTATAGTTATGATATATAATTATAAAAATTAAAATAAAACGATATTTGTTATTTATTGAGATTACTTTATATTTAAAAAAAACAACGTATTAAGTAATAAATTACTGAATACAAAATATTAATAATTTGTAAATTACTTATAATTCACTTAAAATAATTAGGGAGTTTAATGTTTTTATGGCAATTTAAAATTCTTTCAAGTAATAAAAATATTTAACACAAACATAAATGTTTATTGATCACCAATAAACAACAACAATGTACTTAAATCAATTACTTATATTAGAAATTATTATAATTGTGAAAAATAAGTATTTGATTGCTATTTATTTTTACAGGAACTATTACTGTGGCATTTTGAGTTGCATTTTATATTCTTGGAGTGACACTTGCACTTTTTATCAATACAGTATCTTTTGCAGTGGCACATTATAAACCCTTGCTTACTTCCAGATGAGCATCTATGTCAATAGATGCTGAGCGAAGTTTTAATGGCGAAGTTGAGGGCACATCACAAATGTTAATAAAGTGGGTTTCAGAAAGTGTAAAACCATTACGTGCGTAATAACAATTGCCGACAGTCGGCCGTTTGCCGTGATAAGGGTAGTCTATCGAATATACCTTCCTTGTTTCCTAACTGGTAGAGACCTGATGGATTGCTAATGCTCATAACAACACACAATATTCCTGGGTGCTGCCCGTCCTTTATCAACTTACAACCTGTCCGTCGTGATATGATTAAAACAATGAATGCTGAGAACGCGTCATGGCTTTTCTTCATTGCCACAACGCAATGAGATCGAATATCATGTCAGCCACGACACGCACATTTCGCTATTTGGTCTTTCTGTGATTGCCACAACGCGTCGTGCGCGTTTTTATTAGAGCCATAACACGAATTTCGCGATGTGGATGGTATACTGTGACCACAACGCGTTGTGAGCTATTTTTCCGCTCACTGGGCGTTTTCGATCTTTGAGCGTAACATATATATAAAACTCAAAGGTGACTGTCTGACATAGTGATCTATCAACGCACAGCCCAAACCACTGGACGGATCGGACTGAAATTTGGCATGCAAGTAGATGTTAGGACGTAAGCATCCGCTAAGAAAGGATTTTGATCAATTCTACCCCCAAGGGCATAAAATAGGGAGTGAAAGTTTGTATGAAACTTTGTCAATTTTTAACCGATCGGGCTGAGATTTTGCATGCAGGTATAAGAAGAATCATAGATGAATGTCATTGTGTATAATACAAGCCTGAGAACAAAAACTGTAGTCTACACTTCAGCTCTACACCGAAGCGAAGCGAGGGCGGGCCGCTAGTTATCCAATAAATACATTCATCTGTATTTATTTTTTTAGGAAAGGAGTTCAACTCGCGCATTTCGGTAACTGCACGGTGTTGCCGCGTCTGGAGATCGACTGCGCCGATAACTGTGACAACGCCATCGAAAAACCTGTATGCGGATCGGACGGCAACGTATACAAGTAAGTTCGATGTCTTATTAATTAAAAGTTAATTTCGCGAGTTGTCTTACAAATGATCTTAATTTAATTCGGCAAAGTACGCAGCTTGCATTAATGCTGTGTTTGAACCCTACAATTGGGAAACATTTTCTTAAACAAGTAATGGCCCGAAATGGTTCAGGAGCCACTTCGCTGTCCCAGTGTGTGTGTGCTTCCAGAGCACGTTATTATTTAAAAAAAAAAAACATCTGATCTCTTATAATAAATTGTTGGCATCGCCTCATTTCGAAAATTCTAACTATCTCAGAACCATCGGGAATCAAAGGTTCTTTCTAAGATAGGTTGATTTTCACGTATTACCATAGTTTTTATATCTGGAAGGGGCATAGTCTACCCCTCGCTAATCAAGAGGAACGCGATGAGGATGTGCGACAGTCCTCTCCGCTCAATTCTTCATACTCTGAGGTTCAGTGAAATGAGTGAGGTTCTACCCACTAAAATTCAGGCAATACTCTTACACTGGTAATTCTATACTCTCTCGTTTCCTTAACGTGTCTCCCTAGAGTGCATATCGAGAGTGTGGGTGTAGCTCGGTTGACTGAACTAACAACAGAACTACTGATACAAGGTGGTCGTACAAACTATGACCATGCATCTACCGGTGATTGTCCGCGAAAAGACCCACGGCCGATGTGAGCACGACACCTTCCTGTGACGGGTACTACCCATCACAGGTTGTTGCAATGCAGACGTTGTGCTCCTTCGCCAAGTTTTGGAAGAAGAAAATGGTAGAAGCGTAGTTCTCCTTGCCCCTTTTCTTCGTTGATAATTCACCCGGTTTATTGCCATTTCCTTTTGTTCTAGAGCAACAGGCGGTACGGGGGCACTTGCTACCACCCTATTTTTGAAGTGAAAACTTCTTTAGCGGCGTTGTACACTTTTTTGTAATGGGTAAAAACTGTTAAACTAGCGTCAGGACACGGCCTGATCGCGTGAGTCGTGACGTCCAGATTAGGTCACGTGTCCTCGTGGCCGAGGCGTGACCTAATCGAAAATTCGTAAGACAAAAACAATAAAATTGGAAAGGTTGTTGACTTTCAATATATTGGACATAGTCATATTTTATTTTATCGTATTAAAATAATGTCTCTATTTAAGACGTCCAGGTGGCAGCTTTATTGCGCAGAAAATGCATTTTTTTACAATAGATGTCGCTAGGTGCGCTTAAATGTGATTCATGTAAGTTGATTTTTCTGAGAGATAAACTTTTTAATGTAACATAAATTGTCATGTTTGTGTATGATAGCGCAATAAATAAATATTGTATTCTAACACATACATGATAGTACTTTTATACTAATAATTAAAGCAATTCGTGCAAAATTATTCCCTTACCATTCCAAAATATCAAAAATGTACAACGTTAATATTCAAGTTTCCACTTCTGCAGGCACTCCCGGAGTGCAACCCGTCGTTTTTTTCTAGTGTCATAAACGTTTTTATTTACATTTCTTTTTCTATTCTCAGGTCAGAATGTGAGCTGCGTCGTTTAACATGCGGTCAACACGTTGTACCAGTAGCCGCATCCCACTGCCGCACAACTGCGCTCTGCCATGAGCCCTGCCCCGACACACCCGCGTTCGTGTGTGGCTCCGACAACAAGTTCTACAAGAACGAGTGCATCATGAAAAAGGAAAACTGCGGGTATGTCTGTCTGTCTCCCTCTATATAGGTGACCTCATGAACCATAGACTATAGACAGTCTCACTGCTGCACCACCGTGCTTTACCACGAGCCGTGCCCCGACATGGTCTTGGTTGTTACTCTTTTATCACAGCTTAAGTCATTGAAAGGATTTGATTTAACGAAATTATTTTACCCAAACCCAGACGTAGTAGCAGTACTGACATCCTAAAGGTGTTCTTGACAATTTTTTTAATACGATACGATTATTTTAGTTGTATTTTACCAGCAAACAACTGTTTTACAAATAACATGAACAGTACTATCCTTATTAAAATATCAAGATAATAGTATTAAACAAAAGGTTTCTCTTTCCAGTAAACACGTATATGTCGTTCCACTGAAACGGTGTCTGTCACGGTTCCAATATTCGGGCTGCGCGCGCGTGTGCCCTCCCGAGTACGACCCTGTGTGCGGAACCGACGAGAAGACTTACTCCAACAAATGCTTCTTGGAGATGGAAAACTGCCGATCTAGGTAACAGTCGATTCTGGCATGGTTCTCTAAACTTATGACTAAATTTAATCACTCTCTCCTCTACATTCTCTTTTGAGAATGACAAGAATACATTATCATCATTATTAGCCTATTAATGTCCCCACTGATGAGGCCTTCTCTGTGGATCGAGTGGGGAGATTTGGAGATTATTGTAATGTTGTCATTTAATAGTACTTTATCAGATTTATGGTTAGCAAATGTTGTGATATTAAGTAACAACATATTCGAATCATCATCAGTCTTATCAATGTCCCCACTGCTGGGGCACAGGCCTTTCCTATGGATGGAATAGGGAGATTGGGCCATGACCCACCACGCGGGCCCAGTGCAGATTGGTGAGTGCTAACGCAGATTGGTGGGTGCTAACGACTGCAGATGCAGCCGGGACCAACGGCTTGACGACATAGTAAATTTTGGTCACCCATTTAGTACTGCGAAAGTTGCTTAACTTTAACGATCGCAGCCAAACGCACTAACTACTTGCCCCATCGAGCTCCTCGATCCAGAGGTGGGGGTACGAATTCCGTTTGGTGTCTGGACCGGGTGGATTTTTAGTACATTTTTTCTTAGGTTTGCCTTGTTATCCGCTAGATTGAAATAGCAGTTAAATGCTTAAAAAATATATAAGAAACCATTCTATTTTTTTTTCAGGAGTCTCGTCCAGCTGAAATATTTGGGCACCTGTTCCGAACCTATTGCGGAGGAGCCTAAGAACTACCTTTACCGATAAATTTAATCCTTCAACTCTTATGATCTATTCAAGTTGTAACGTAAACTCATACTCCCTTATTAATAAATGAAGAATAAAGTTGCATTAGGTACTCCTTGTTTTGTTTCTTTTCATTGAATAGTGATGATGACCGGGTCAAAAAATTATCGAAACATTTTTTGGGAATTGTAAAAAAATGAGGCGATGTTCTTTTGTCAATCAACCAAAAGTTACAAAAATAAAGCGCGTCACAGTTAGGGAGTGAGTGGCTCGTGACGTCACTTCTTAGTGAATACTGTACGAACACGTGATATTATGCGACATTTCAAATCAGTATATCTCAGTGTTATGTAAAAAGAAAGAAAATATACATTGGAGAAAACACTTAGTCATCATCACTATTACTAATGACATTACAGTGATATGAACAAAACACGGTGTAATTAGTCTAAGCTTATTCCTCGTTTTTACTAAAATTAGCATTAGTAATAAGGGGGTTAATTTAATCATGAGATCAAACTTCACGATGGTGATCTGTACCATCTACAGTATCCACGATTGGTACAAATTGTACCCTCCTGTGTATGGCCTTCCATATCGAATCAAGGACTTGGTTCTACAAAAATACATTGATTCAAAATAAATGGCAATTATTACTTAACGCACACACTTGATCGTATAATTGTTAGTTCAAATTTACTCGAATTAAGGCCCTTGGGAGTAAAGATTCCTGAATATTTATCCGACTGGACTAATATTAAAAATAAGGATAAAACTTGAGTAGAATCATGAATTTTTCGCTTCAAACCATATCTGAGTAGTTCATTATAAACCTTAGTGCCAACTTTCTTCGTAGTAAGGATAATTATGTAAAAATATTTAACGACCAACTTATAGAAATTCTCGTCTTCCATTTATCATGATTTAATTTAAGAATTTAATATTTAAATAAATAATCAGTACAAAATTTGTACGCATATATTTGGCGTAAGTGGGCAATGGCGTAACTACATTGTTAGTACTATTTAAACATTTCTTTCTAGAAAGTGGCAGCATCAACACTTAAAAATGATTGACGTCTCCTATTGCAACTGAACTTTTTTCTGAAATCTTAACGTGACGATTTTACTTTTGTAATTCAGTTACGCCATTCATGTAAAGAATATGATAATACTGGCTATGCTGATTTTTGGATACTAACTCAAATTGGTATAAAGATATTTTAGACTGTTTATTTTTTATTCTATTTATTAACTAAAAATAGCATAAGTGATTGTAAATAATTAGTGAATTTTTCGTCATAATAATAATTTATTTATTCGTTCGTCTCTTAGATCGATGCATTTATAAAAGACTTATCTTTTAATTTATTGTAATAGGTGAAATCATTGCGTATTGGTTTTGTTTTGAAAATATGAATATTTTAAGTGCTAGCATGTTTGTAAAAAAAAAACTGTTTGTAGTTTTCAAACAAATTTATTCATGAGACTTTGATTTTCAACATTGTAACGTGCTCGCTTGAAAGATGTTAGTAAAATTTTCCGATAGAATAATATAACTTTAAATTGTTTGTGATTCAATAAAATAATTGTTTAGTGATTCAAGAATGCTTCCATACAATAAGGCTTGATTCCATTATTAATCTTTACAATAATTAAATAAAAATCATTTTATAAAATTTATATTCTTTTATTTGCATGCATTGTATCTTTGTTATTTAATTTATATTTTTTTTCAACTGTTATCTTCTTTATTTCCTTTGACTTATTTTTAAATCTTATATATCTCGACTTGAGATAGAATTTAAATATTATAATATTCTTATTTGAATTCCTAATAACAAAGTACAACAGGCGACATTATAGACGAGCTGCAATGTCGTCCATGCAATACTCGTACACATAACATGGAAAATACAAAAATAATGAAAGAAGAATGTGGGAAATATGGTTAGTACCTATTCTTTGTTTTAATATTTTTCATTAATAAAATATCTCGTTTTAAAACCTAGTTGGAGGGAAAAACTGTTAAAATCTAGCTGTAACTATACAGTATAGCAAATCTATGTATGCCACTTCCTATCTAACCACAGTATCTTCCAATTTTAATTTCAAATTTGATATCTGAAAGTTAGCCTACCAAATAGGTTTAGAAAATATTAAGCTTAAAGTCATGACTGTTAAATCCTCTACCATACCTTAAGGCTGCTTTTCCACCAGAGATGTGCTATGCTACGTTGCTGTGGCTGCGTTTGATATCCACCAATCAAATTCATTGGTCCACATAGCATAGCACTGGTGGAAACGGGTTCAACTAAGCTAAGTTTTTAATATGGAAGGATGCGTGCTATGGATGCGTGCTTTGGATGCGGGCTATGATGGCCGCGAGTGGTGTAGCTATATCACGCGTGTGCGCTACCCCTCTCACCGCGCCGCTCCTTCCAGCTTCCCTACTATCGATACATTGCATAGCTCAAGCTGCGCATCTTCTTAACACAGCTAGTCTCGTAGTTTCGTAGCTTAGCTGACACATCCTCGCAGCATACCTGCATAGCACATCTCTGTTAGAAAAGCACCCTTAATGTTAATGCTCCTCCAAAATCCGAAACAGTTATGACGTGAATCTACTTACATACATTATAAACTTATTGTAGGAATTAATCTGCTCGAAAATCCATTCTGCAGGATTCAAACTTGCGATTTCCGCTGTCCTGACAAATATGCACTGCCTTGCAACCTGAAGTCCTTTTTTTTGAGTGTATATGCTGTTTGCCGCAGATGACCTTTACAGCGGAACCGAGTTTGGAGACGGCGAGATCCTTAGGTTAGGTCCCCCTCAAGCCGAGAATTGACGAGTGCCTCTAGAGGTATTCCAGGCGGATAGCATCTCCCCACGGGGGAGTCTCCTCTCCGTCTGGAGCCTCCAGACCACTCGAACCTGAGGGGGTTGAAGTCCTCTACGCACTATCCATCTTGCTGGATCCAGCATGCAAGAAAGCGCTATGCACGTAAAAGAGATGGTAGAATCCAGCAAGGTAGATAGGGCGTGGTACCAGGAGAAATTCGATACGATCATTACGGTCTCAGTACCATAGCAGTTAGTGCATCCATCTGTCTGACACCTTGAACGAGTGGAATATTTCCTAGTAAAAATTTTCTTCATACTTGTTCATGTAACTTTTTCAATAACAGGCATCATGAAGTTTTCTGCAAGATGTCAGTACAAGATTTGGCGAGTAACTCGATGGGATAGTTGCATGGCTCAAAGAATTCCGCCAGTTCGTCCACCAGACACCTGAAGTTGCTGCTCCATTGCTTTAAAGTTTTCATGCTCAGAGCGTTGTGGTGGTACAACACCAATACTAGAACAAACATATAAACATAAATATTTCTTACACCCACACTAATTAGTCTAGTTCCGAAGGTACTGTGTTATGGGATACTAGGGTAACGGATAGAAAATTACATATATTGGTACCTTCGATTAACAATTAAAAAGATAACGGGTTGCAATCAAAATCAAAGCTAAAAACTGAACGCTTGAGTGTATACTTATGTAGCTACATTCGATTTCCAATGAACAAAGACAAATGTTTTAAAACAGTTAAGTTGAACCTAATAACAACCATGTTACAAAGGAATAAAGATACAAATAACAACATGTTATTTCGTATGCACGACCTTTTATCTTATAAAAAGAACAAGACAATGAATTATATGTGATACTTTGATTATTTACTCTCTAGTTAGAGCGGCACCTAGTAAACACTGCGATAAAAACAGACCAAGTTTTATATATTCTCGGCGTCAAAAAAATCGCACCGCCGCGAAAATAACATGAATAGTGAAAAATCCTTGATTAAATCTTAATTAAAACAGATTAATTACACAAAAAAAATACAAAAAGGTACTTAAAACTAACCTAAACCGTGTTACCCACCCTACCTAATATACGTTTCGATAACGGCTTCCATGCGCTCCCTCATAGATCTTACCAATTTTAGGAGCTTTTCTTGATATTGGCCCATTCCTCAATAACGGCCTCTTCGAGCTCCTGGAGAGTAGTGGGAGCAGGATCACGAGACCGAACCCAGAGTTTCAAATGGTCCCAGAAGTGCTCTTTTGGGTTTAGGTCTGGACTTCTAACTGGCTACTGCGTGACAGAGATCCCAATCTCTTAAAGGTAGTCGCGCACAATTAATTCAGTGTGAGCGCGAGCGTTATTGTCCATTAATGTGAACCCATCGCCAACAAAACCGGCACAGGGAGCCTCATGGTTTTCCATATGATAATCTCTGTGGCGTACCGGTGAGCAGACCCTTGCCCGTGAGCACCTCCAGTCCGGAAGACGCTTATAAGGCCGGTTTTGCCGTCGGCCGCCATGCCGCCCCCCTATTCCACCATCTCCTGGATGCAAGCTTGGGCGAAACTTTCTCCTTGTCTTCTGTATACTCTTCTGCGTCGATTGTTACAGAAAAGGCACACTCTCGTCCCGTCTAAAAAAATCTCTTCATTTGTCAAGGGTCCTATTGACGTGGTGGCGAGCAAACTGCAAGCGGGCTTGCCGATGCTCTGCAGTCAATTTCGGGCCCGTAGCAGCTCTATGAGCCGCTATCTTCTTCACCCTCAGTCTTCGCTAACCGTAGAAACGCTCACGATTGTTCTGCGAGCTGCCTGGTGCTGCTGTTGCAACTCAACAGCATTAGAGAACCGATTTCTTAGAGATGTTGAGACGATGAATCGGTCGTTTCTCTCCGAGGTGCAGCAACGTCTACCAGACCTATGCTTCCGAACATGGCCACCGGTCTTCAGGAACGGCGCAGGAGTATACCTTCGAACTGAAAAACAGCTCAACTTCAGTTGCCGAGTGACATCACATTGCCGCATCCCTGATGAAGTGTAATCACTTGAACGGCTTCATAAACAGTGGTATCCATTGTCAAGGTGTTTTTTTTTGTGAAAGATTTACTCGTGTGTCCTCTTTAACGGTTGGATAGCGAATAAGTAATAAATAATAATAAGTTATCTATAGTATTGTTGATTGAAGGCTCAGACATATGATTAAAAATATATTTATCTAGAAATATATATTTTATAAACATCTGTGTCTTAGGTACAAATGCTGGAAAAATATGTTGGAAGTTTTCAATTTGTTAAAAGATTTTGCTTAAGAAAAAAAGAAGGTAATGTCATAATTCTTTTCTTATTTAAAATATTATGTTAAAATTAAGCTAGATAATGGTTAATAGGTAATACTTACCTTAACAAAAAATACATATATCAATTTAGATTAATATTTTACACTTACCAAAAACAAAAACATAAGTTAGTATCCACTTCCAAACCATTGGTACTTACTGAAAGAAAATATCGAAAGAAACAATTTAAAATATATTATCAACCAAGTAAAAAAACCCGGCCAAGTGTGAGTCGGATAAAGACAAGCATAAAAGCCGCCTGATGGGGGTAAGGAGCCTCTATAGCAATCAGTCACGCCTACACTGACCCCATCCAATACCACATGGCCCATGGAAACTTCACTTCCTGCAGAAATGAGATGAATACGAATATATGAATGGGACAATTAGTTATCACAGTGTGAAAATAATAGACTTATTAGCCTCGTCCTGACTGAGCGAGCAGCCTCGCGAGGCAAATGCAAGCGCTGCGTCGTCCGAGCATGCCTTGCTTTTGTTGATAAGCGCTTTAGCAACATTGCCGCGCGCACTAAAGACTGGTATTCTACCTCACTTGATCACCGAGCGATGGAATCGTTTGCGTCATGGATAAAGAACGGTGTCTTAAATTAATACAGTTATAAGGCCTAACAAATAATGTAAAGGCAGTTGTGGCTATAACTCTCCGAACCAACGGTCTTATGACGATCTTGAACAAAACTGGTTAAATTATAAGTAGCGTTAGGCACACGCTTTCTCTTGATTGTGCTTAGCGCGAGGCAGCCTCATGCAAAATAATTATAGACCGAGGCGCCAAACGTCCGAGGCTGCCTCCTGAGGCTGCTTACACAGATAGGACGCGGCTATTCGTCAGTTAACAAACATACCATCGTATTGATGATTGAATTTTGTAGGAGGCCAATATAATATTTATAACAAGGCTTATTAACTTTTTACACAATTTTATCTCGTACTGGAATTTCTCTGCCGTGATTACTTTCTTTATGGATTTTATAACGTCAAATGTCATAATGACGTTAATATCATGGAACTGGAGAAAAGATATGATACATGATACAGAATAAAACACCTTTAAATTGTTTTTGGTATTTGTAGTTATCATCATGGACCTAGGATTTTTCTATCGTAATGTAATAAAGTAGGTGATTGAGTAACATGATTATTGGAAGGCTGTCTCGGCCCATGGTCCACCTACTTAGTTTACCAAAGGTCTACAAAGAGAGGAAGACTGAAGAATAGATTAATAGACCGTGAAAGGTGACAATGACAAAGATATTATTGAATATTGTGATTTGCGATCAAATAATGAGAAAATAGGCAGATGAATAATGTATTTATTTTTGGAAAAGGGTGAGAAACAAGCCAGCCTGGCACGACCAGCCTGGTGGTAAGCGTACTATGCGGCCGCCATGTACAAAGATGCATAGAGAAAGTGGTCACCATCATCCCACTAATATTATAAATGTGAAGGTTTGTAAGTCTGTATCTTTGTGTTTTTGCATGTTTGTGTGTATGTATGTTTGTTACTCAATCACGCAAAAATGCCTGAACGGATTTGGATGAAATTTTACACTGAGACAACTTATACACTGGAAAGAGACATATATTTTTAAACCCGGAAAAAATTTGGTTTCCTGTAGGATTCCAAAAAACTTAAGTTAATATGGACTAAGTAGCGGGCGGCTGCTAGTTTTATATAAATGCATGCGGTACTAAGTGCTCCTCGTGGCATTGCCTACTCCGAACTTATCCCCTACGCAGTGGAGCTCTGGAGTTTATGTGAGGTGGAGGCTGCCCCAGATAGACAGTGACTAGACATTTCTTAAGTTACAATGCAAGCTACTCTATTGATGTTTTAAATGACATTAACGGATAACTTATCTATACATATAATAAAATAGTAGGAAAGTCAAAACTGTACATTGAATATTTTTTTAAAAGAATACTTGGGGTGTGATCTACAATCGACACCGAAGCCAAAACTATAGTTTTTAAAATTTTTGACTGTTAGTCTGTATGCATGTCCGGGATAAATTCAAAAAATACTGCATGGATTTACTTCAAATTTGGCACGAATATTATTAAGAAGTCAGGTCAACATAAAGGCTACATTATTATCACGCTATCACATACGGGGAACGAGCAGGGAACCCTTTTGGGTCAAAAAGTATTTGCAAATAACTAACTCCATGCGTACGAAGATTTGCTGAGATTTTTTCAATTTGAATCAGTAGTTGCTGACATAAGCGCTCAACCAAACAAACAAAAACTTCATCTTTGTAATATGTAGTAGTATTAGTAGTATAGAATACTAAGCAACTTTTGTTTTTAAAAATTCTTATATTACTAGACGGCGATTGTCATCTAAACCTAGGCATAAGCTGCATTACATATTATTAGACTTCAAATTAAAATATCTCTAAAATTATGTCATATCTTTTGTTTAAAATTACTATAATTATAACATAATTTAAAAACAGGTGTTTACAATCAGATCATTAAATATTAACACACTGATAGTAGTCAGCTAACATACAGGATGTAGCGCAAATTGCTTTTCTATTACACTTTGTTTTTTTTTTATCGAATTAGCGTGTAGTACCTAGATATACTATAGATATTAATTTGTGTATCGAATCACACAGCATATTTTGCTCGGGGCCGTCGGTCGTATTACGATCTTTCAATATGTTTAATAAAATTTCTACGCAGTTTACACCACACGCAAAATTTGCTGTTTAATTTTTATTACTACTACCGGGCTTAAGAATATTTAAAATAAGCCAACGATTAAATCCTTGGCATGTTCCTGTGTCTGTTTCTTTAGCATCAGTTCCCAAAGGTAAATCAGATATAAAGAAATAATTTCAAGAAAACGCGTTTTGTCTAGTGAGACCTAGTTTTTACAAATATAAATAATAAATATTTCCAACACTCACACCAATTAGCCCCAAACTAAGCACTGTAAGGCTTGTGTTATGGGATACTAGGGTAAAGGATAGAATACATATACTGTACATATATATAAGAATATATATATAGAATCAATATTTAAACATCCATGACTGGAGTACGAGCATTTGGCTCGTGTCCATCACAAAAATATATGCCCCCATCGGGATTCGAACCCGGGACCTCACGAGTCGGTGACACCATGAAACGCGGCGTACAAACCACTCGGCTACGAAGGTCGTCAGATAATTTTAAGAACTATAGTTAATTCTAGTCGTAACAAAAACCATATAGTGAAAACTAGTTAATACTAGAGAAATCGCGTGGTAACTAAGAACGGGATGAAACTGTAAACTATCGATATTTTATTGAATGTTACAATTGCAATAGTAGTGCTATTCTGTAAGAACAAACTCACTCTTAACCTCGGAATTAGCGTTATGTTTTAAAATTAGAACACGAATTTCAATAACAATTTAAATCAAATCGGCGAATTCCGCGCTGAAAAGTGAGTTTGGTCTTACGGAATACAGCCTGTATAGGTATGACAGTCGAAAGTTTGTCACACATCAATTTGCTCTGAAGATCGCGTAGTGTGCTCTGAGATTATATTTCGTCTCTGAAGACATGTTATTGCTCTCATTGAACTAGATTGTTACTTATTAAGAACAAAACACTGTGTGTTACTAGTCGTGTTCCTAAAAGTACTTATGAAAAACTACATTGCAATTAAGAGGTATTGAAATAAATAAAGTTTCTTAACGAAGTTAATAATTTCAATAGTAAAATATAAGACTAGAATATCGTGATTAGTACTGTTTATTAATAATATGGCCAAATATTACTACTTCTTCAGTGAGGGAAGTACTATTAATCAGCTGATATGCGCAGTTCTGAGTAAGTACATAGTTTTGTAGTTACTTATTGATTAACGTACCCGAAGGGTCATTGTCTGTAAGCGGGTTATATTTAATAAAACGTAGATGTGAAAAGAAATAATTACATCATCCCCTTCTCAGGCGATGATCGCATCAGACGAAGCCTGTTATACCCATATGACTCAATTACATTTGGTCGCTAGCCATATTCGGGTGCACGAAAACCATTACTCAAATTCGGGCAATATTTACACTGGAATATGGGCTGAAACATGATGTCGGGTAAACAAAACGAACACTACCCTAATACGGGTGTACTTACTTGGTTACTTGTGGTGGGTCCCCGTTTACACGTAGACTCTCGATTTGGTTCATTGTGCGTGCAGAGTTGTGGGACCAGCTAGATTAGCCAGCCCACCTCCTTCCAGAATCGAAGTAGCCTCCTGGGACTCTCATAGGTTTCTAGGAGCGTCCTCAGTGACCCTAGGATGAACGCCCGTTGTTTTGCCACACTCGGGAATTCCAAGATTACATGTGCGGCCGTTTTATCTGCTACCAGACAACCTCTGCACAGAGAGCTATCTGTAACATGTATGATTAGTAATGCTTATTAAGTGGGCAGTGCTGCTCAGAATTACTCGGAGATCTATGCGGTTAAGTTTTAGTAATTTCCGGGTTAGTTTAGGGTTAAGATTAGGGAGAATCTCATTAGATTGCCTGCAGCCCTCAGTGTTGACCCATCGGGTGTTGTGGCTCTATATGGTTCGTTGGCGCATCGTCTAAGTGCGAAGTTGGCTGCAAGGTATTGGCAGTAGGGGCCTTCTACAAGCGCCCGTCCCATGACACTACCCGGAGGGTCCCTCGCTAACCGGCATGGCGTCAGCTGTGCCGGCCACCGATGGACCCCGTGACGGCAGCCCACTCTTGTAGTTTTGTCCTGCAAAGAGGGGGGCGGTGGAGGGAGCTACATGGGCACGCCCAAGTACCCCTCCGCAACGGCCGTGGGCACTAGGCCGCGTACTCAGCCCCCATGCTCGGCCATCCTGCGCACGTCTGCAGGGTCCCCGCGATACCCCGGGAGACCCCTGCCGTGGAGCCCCGGCTAGGCCGGGAGGCTGCTAGGTGCGGAGACGCGGAAGAATCCCTAAACGGGGATCCCGCGGCTTCGCGCTAAGCAGCTTAGAGGGTATTCGTAGGGTTTTTTAGGGTATATTATGCCGTAAACAGTATTTTTTGCCTGCGTATAAAAAAGAAGAAAAAAAAAGGGACTTCTACAATCTGCACTGACCTACTTGTTGCCAGTTCTTCGGCTGCGTCATTTCCCATTGAGCCGCTATGTCTCTTAATCCATTGCGAGATGACACTGTAGTTGCTGCCATTTGTTCCAGTGCCAGGAGGCATACGTATATTAGCCCTGAGGTTTTACTGTTGCTTTTCGGGGCTCTAAAGACAGCCATGCGGTCAGAAAGTATGCGTATTTTATAGTTTCTGACTTTCCTATTGATGACTGCGATGACAGCTTGGGTATAAATACGGGCGTACTTGACTCCAATTGTACAATTTCCACTTAGTCGTTTACTCGAGTTGCATTGGCACTCGAATTTGGGCTAACGATCAAGTGTAATCACGTCATTATGGCCATAGGCATCCCGCCACGGGTGTGTTTTAGTCAGTAAGAGTTTGACATAACCCTGCAGCCGGCTGTATGGTATCCATTAGAACACTCGCTCCTCCTGGGAGGAAACAAAAAAAATACAGGAAGAAAGTTGATTTTTTTATAGAATACTAGTGGATTTCGGCTCGATAGAATTCCCGCGACTTCGTCAGCGTGGAATTAGTGATTTGTGTATTTTATTTTTTATCCATTTTGCGTTTTCATCGGTCTAAAATGGCAAACTTTACAATTTATTTATATTAGTATTCGTACCAAGATTTAATTCTATTAAGTCAAAGAATAAGATTTAACACTTGCCTCATTTAAAAACTATTAGGATAACGCGCGAGCACTATATTTTTTTCTTAATCAGCGTCCTGATAAACCATACAAACCACACCCATGAAGATTTGCAGACTTTGTCATCCCATTTCTAGCTTTAAGAGGTTGAATTCTGAAAAAAACTGAAACAATTATTTACTCATTTATCGATAGGAATAAAGTAAAATACTGTAAAGTTAAGAAATAATTTAACTAATCTTGTTTCCCCATACAAACTTTGGACCTCCGTTTCACCTCCTTATGGAGTGAATTTTGAAAATCCTTTCTTAGTGCACCGCTAGACCTCATAAGGAACCTACGTTTCGAGTAAATCCAACCGCGCGGTAAAATTCATCCATATCAAACTTCGACACCCTCAATCCCCATTTTAGAAGGTAGTTTAGGGAATCTAAAAATGACAATCTTTTTTATTTATTTCAATAAAGCCAAACAAAAGCTAAAGCTAGCACAAAGCCTATCTTTGAAAGTTGTGGTCTGAATCTAGAAAATCCATGTTTTTCTACTTGGTCAATTATATGTGGAACGTTCAGGGGTCGGAACATCTGCGTTATTTGTTCTTGTGCCTGCTAATAAAAAAAATGTCGTCTATCACAAGGTGCTTCACTGAAGAGTGCAACCTATTCACCAAAATGCCTGGCCAAAAAAGTATCATTAAAATACTTGATTTTTTTATTGATATTTTTTAACGTAATAAAAATCCGCTCATTTATTGCTTCTAAAGCGGAACAAAGTTTGCCGGGTCAACTAGATAATTTATAATATCGACCAAAAAACGGGAACAGAATCACGTTGTTAGGGCTCCCTTATAAAAAAACGTCATATTTTGCTGTTTAATAGTAGAAAAACTTAAATATTTACTTAATTCTATTTTTAGTAGTTATTTGTTATTAAAGAGGCAACAGAAATACATCATCTGTGAAAATTTGAATTGTCTAGTTATCACGATTCATGAGATATACAGCCTGGTGACAGGCGAACAGACGGTCAGTGGAGTCTTAGTTAAAGGGTTCCCTTTTTACCCTATGGATACGGAACCTAAAAAGCAACTTTAACTTTCCTTGTGAAGTTTGGCATCGCCTTTCCGACTCAGGAAAACTTGAAAATTAATCGTGCAGTTTCGAATGGACATTGATGACTACATATTAATATGACTGTAAAAAAATTCATTTATTGATGAAATAACATATTGCCCTTCTGACAGTCAACTTGCCTCTGTTCGCCTACGGTGCCAGCATCGGATGGTTGTCGCCAATGACTCTTCTGCTGCAATCCAAAGACTCGCCAACTGGGAGACCTCTTACTGATTCTGAAGTAAGTTTTAATATAAGTTGTTAGTTCTAAAAATGAATATAAATGTCGTAGCTGTAATAGTTTTAGGTCAACTCGAAAAGAGATCGTCACCGTATCAACTCGAGCCGTTCGGTATTCTTTGTATGAAACTCGCTACTGCAACGTATTCTAATCGGAAGCGTAACATATTCGCCTCGCCTCGGAAAATCTTGTGTCCTAAGTCTGCACGACCATTTTCCGGCTTACTGCTACTGAAACCACTTTAAGACTTAGAGAATCTAGACGAACCTTGTTCTACCAGTAATTTTACAAAAAATATTATTAAAAGTCTTGCAATATCTCCAGCTCTTTAAACATGATATGCTTGACGGCGCAGTGGCGATTAACACGTTCACAGGAGTATAGCAACTTTTGCAAAGATCGGACACAGGTTGGGTGACCGTCTTACGAATGTCTTGTAACGCCATAATGCACAGATTACTGGTTAGTTACAACTGGGCCTCGGGTACATCGTCTAGGTTAGCACCCATCATTCCATACAGGGCCGTGAGGTGGGTAAATAGCCTGTTATCTATATTCCTACCTTATGACAGGCCAATGCCTTACCAGTGGGGTATTCATAGGGTGATTAAAATGGTAAAGTAGTTTTATACCCTTTTCTGTGTCCACATCAAATTATTCTTTATTTTAAGAGTTTTACAATTTTCCAATAAAGTTGGTATCTAATTTGAATTCTATGTAGGTAGCCTCATCAGCCCTGTTCCACCCGGCACCCGACCAGCACCGCCACGGCCGCGGCGCGCGCCGTCCACGCGTGGACGCTGCGCTCTCAACCAGCTTACGTTAGGTAGGTCACGGGTGACCGCCCGCCACACGAGCGAGCGAGACAGAGCGCGTAGATACAACACGTTAGTAGCGACGACGCGGTGGCGATGGCGGTACGGAACTATGAAAAATATCTGAACTTTGGAAAATATCAACCACACATGTTGGGCCAGTGCTGGTCGGCCGGGTGGGTCTAATGAGCTATTATGACCTTCATTCTTTATTTCAAGACTTTTATCAATTTTTCACTAAAGTAGGTTTTATCAATTTTAAAATACCTTACTTGGATTCTAATTTATTTTTTTATTTTTTCAGATCTCATGGATGGCTTCAGCAGCGTATTTAATGTGTTGTCCTGCAGATTTCTTCATGGCATTCCTTGGCGATAGGATTGGGAGAAAACTATCATTACTTTTTGTTACATCCGCCCTGGTTGTAAGTTTAATCAAATTCTGTGATAATTGCTATTGTTTATTAATTGCTCATTTTTAAAGAAATAAGCAAATGACCCAATCATGTTTAAACATATATTTAAAGGGAGTGCCTTGGCTGTGATTTTTAGCCCTTTTGGTTACAAAATCATCTTAATAGTTACATCACCGATTTGCGTCAATTCAGAAGAAGACCTAGGGAAGTTTATAACCTTTTTTAATAAATAGAAAAGGCGTAACGCCACCCTGAACCGCCAGGAGTAGCGCGAACAGGGTACCTGAACTGCTCCCTGCCCATTTTATCCAGCCCCAAAGGCTGGATGATATGAGAATAAAGATCTACCCAGTACAAAACCAGATAACACTCCTGCCCCGGTTATTTGTCACGCATTCTGAAGACTGAGGTCCCCCTAGTGCTTGTCGGTAGTGCGGGTTGAAGCTGCGGGAACGAAGTACTAGGAAGATTTTATCATCAAGATAAATCTGGAAAGCAATTAATATTTCTTCACATCTTCAGGGATGTTGGGTAATCAAACTAGCTTCGCTTCAGATATCAGCGTTTATAATAGCCAGAGTTTTGGTCGGTGTGAACATGGCAGGTTGCTTCGTCATCTGCCCGATATACACGAAAGAGATTAGCCAGGATTCTATAAGAGGATTCTTGGGATCTATGGTAAGTAATTTAAAACTTAACAGTAATGTATTCATGTTAGTACTTCACAAGGCTATACATATTTGCTTTTTGTAAATTTGGCAGCAATCTCTCCAATTCATTTCCTGTAAAACATGATAACGATATAGCTATGTGAATTGCTAGCATCAGAATAAGGTTAACATCTTATATCGGCTGGTGCCCTATCAAAATCTATAGATTTTCTTTAATATTTTTTTCTCGTCAAAGAGGATTCTACACAGGTAGAAGGAGGTACAGCATCCCAAGACCACCAGACCTTACTTATTTTCTCATGGAAAAAATATGGATAATCGAGTAGTATTAGTGTGTACAGAACCTTACATACTAGCTAATTTGTTCTGGGGGCCAATTTCCAGATATTAAGTGGCACACCATGTAAAAGTTTTACTCACTTTACTTACAGTCTGAGGACTGATTCTTACGTATGTTGTAGAGAATATTACAAACAATTTGAAATGAATACTGCCAGACACATTCTGCCAGTAGTATTTATTGAGAAATTCTTTAAATGTTGAACAATAAAACATTATTGGCATCTCACAGTTTTTAAGTTTTTGTACCAGTATTGTACAATCATAGTCGTTTTAAACACATTGTCTTATTTTCATTCCTTTTCAAATGACTTTAACTTCTATCTTATAGACTACTTCTTTCCTACTTTATCTTTACTTCACTTTTTGTATTCTACCTTATTGTTTAGGTAACTAAGCTTACTTGTCGTTCAAATTACAGTTAGTATTATTTCAAACCTCCGGAAATCTCTTTGGGTATATCATGGGAGACTTGCTGAGCTACAGCACGTTCCTATGGGTTTGCCTAGCTTTGCCGACAGTACATCTCATACTGTTCATGATGATGCCTGAGTCACCATCTTTTCTCTTAAAAAGAGGAAATGTAGAGGTAAGTTTACAAAGTTTGAGTTTCATCAGTGAAGTAACAGTAAGGGATAATTTTTAAAGATTCGATGTTTTAAAACACAATTTAAATCAATATTCATTATCCATTATTAAATGTAAATATACTGAAAAAATAATAATGTAGTGGTTAAACTATGTATGATTTAGATATAAATATGTACCTATATAATGTACGCCGAGACCAAATTTATAAAGAATTTATACCCAAGTACCGAAGTCAGAAGGTGTTTTACTTTTCGTTAATTTTGTTGCAAATTCAACATAGTAATTAAGAGATCAAATATAAAATATAAATTCAAATATAAATTTGTGCAATTTTATGGCGTCTATTTATTGTTATTAATTTGTTTAAAGGAAGCTACTAGAGTCTTGGCTTGGCTTAGATGCAGGGATGAGACTGATATAGAAATTAAAAATGAAATAGACGTTATGAAAAAGGAACAGGAAAAGGATATGGAAGGAAGCACATTTCTCCTGAAAAATATTTGTAAGTTAATCAAAATGTAATATTATTTTTTGAGGCTTTTTAATAAAATATCTTTTTCTTTGAGGCTTTTCGTATATATTAGTTACGAAAATCATCATTTTTTTCCATTTAATCTTAAAACACACATACATACCTACCTTATTCTTTTATGATGCTTTCTGATTAGAAAACATAACCTAATTATGTTAACCTTCTTTGCTCTATCTGTTCTAAGAATAGTTTTTTGTTTTAATATTAAATGAAACAAAATGTAGTGAAAAAATAGTTCTAAACTATTGTTATAACTACAAACTTGTTGGTATTTTTTATATAATGAAACGATACTGTTAGAATCATGGAATGAACAAAAAGACCAATTATTGATTCAATTGTTAAATTGAACAGAGCCACTGTAGTACATATGTCTGCTGAAATATTATGGTGTATTGTGAATGTTGAATGAGCATTTCTTGTATCATATGACGGCTTTAGTTCCTATATTTTCTTTTCATTAACCTTCGAGGTTCGAAATTTTAATTAAATGAGGCTGCTTATTCCAAGTTTAACTTTTTTGTGCGATCCATAAGCCCCACTTGCAGCTAATTTGCAAAAGCTCAATTTAACAAACCACTAGATTTATCCCATACAATAATGTCAAATTAAAATTGTTATTTTTCTATGGGATATGTCTAGTTTTAGTTGGATCGAGAATTAGTAAAATTGCTGCAAGTAGGCCATGAACCTTATCTCTTTTCAAATCTTGATGAAAGGGCCCACAGAGGAGAAAACCTAGTGCTAGTTCATTAATTTTCACACTTTCGTGAGAGCAATTCACTAGATTATAGAAATGTCGATGAACCAGGCAAACATTATATTTCTACTAATATTATAAATGTGAAAGTTTCTATGTTTCTCACTCAATCACGCAAAAACAGCTGAACGGATTTTAATGAAGTTTGGTACACACTGTACATAATATGTACATAATACGAGAATATGAGAATAGTTTATGATCTGGACATAGGATACCCAGGAGAAATGTAAGGTGAGCGATTCTCCAAAAAATTTAGTTAACACGGACGAAGTCGCGGGCGGCCGCTAGTGTTTTTATATACAGCCAAAAACATTTTTGATTTAATTGTTGGTTATTAGTAGGTTCCATGAAAAACGTGAACGTGTTTATTTATATATTTGTCTTATTTGTTTCTTAGGTTTTCACGCACATCACTCATTAAATAGAACTAGTTTTAACGGGTTAATGCACGAACTTTATTTATTTATTGACGTTTCGCAGCCTTTTCAGGTCTGCATCGTAAGAACGTGAAACCTCATTAAATAAATAAAGTTCATGCATTAACCCGTTAAAACTAGTTTTATTTAGTGTTTATTTATAACTCTACCGAGTTAATATCGGCGTTTTCTTTTGTTAAAATGGTGGCAATCAAGCATATAGCCCGCCTGATAGGAAGCGGCCACCATAGCCTATAGATGCTTGCGATACAAAAAACATCACTCGCACTGTTGCCTACCCTGACCCAATGCCGTACCCTGTGCAACCCTGGAAACTTACTCACCGACAGAAACACAACACTACCAAAAGGTAGTGTTATTTTACTATGGTCTTCTATAGGGTGGAGGTTACTTCCCCAAATGGGGACTCCAATGCAGAAAATCCGGTATGCCCTATATTTCCTTCACGTTTAATTAGCCTCACGCCTGAATAAAATGTTTTTACAGTATCGGATCGAATTCTATGCCGTGCATTCATCATTGCCATGATAGTTACGGAAGCAAGGGAGGTCTGTGGTGCTATACCGGTACTTAGTTTCGCTGGTGATATATTTTCTATGGCATCCAAAGGATCCAGTTTGGTGTTAACACCAAATCAACAAGCAATGATGCTGGGGGCGGTACAAGTAGCCGGCTCAGCGTTGGCATCGAGTGTCGTTGAAAAAGCGGGACGGAAGGTAGGTACTTATTTATTTGGCATTAGAAAATCAATATATGAATGAATCACTTGTAATACCTTTGATTAATTGACTATTACTGAAAACAACAGTCATTAAAATGTTATATATCAACACATAAATAAGGAATAAATGGTTTTAGTAGGTCTAGACACATTCACAGTTGTTGGTGGACTATTATAGTTTTGATAATTGTTAATTTTATTACTTTAAACATAAATGAATTCAATCATATAAGACTGTTTACACTCACTTCGAGCAATTATTATGTTTGAAATTTAAAGGAGAGGAATAACCCCTTATAAATCACATTTAATAATTACTTTAACAATATTGATTGCGGAAAGCAGAAAACTGAGAATTCTTGTTACTGCATAACTAGTGTATACCATTGATGTATCTTTGATTAGGTATGTGCTTCCATTTTTAACTTTTGACCATACTTCTGATTTATTTGCATAATGCAAGCAGTTGCCAAGCGTGTAGTTAATTCCTTTATTATTAAATTTATACACCTCCGAAGCCAGTTTTTAATATTTTTAGCTTAGCCTTTCATCAAGCAATACGTCCCATTATAGTTTAATTATGGTGACCCCATAAAGTTTATCTGTTTTAAGGAACTTATAGAGGTTCCGGTATCGGTATCTTGAAATATTTGTATTGTTATTTATTATGTATATCTCAAGGTGTTTCCACATTTACTAACCCAAGTTAGTAATATGATAACTCAGTAAGTTGATTTGTTGTGTATATAGGTATGTTTAAATAAACATTAGAGAACGCCAATCAATAAATTTATTTGTATCTTTTATTATGATTATTAGTTAGGTACTATTTTGGTTCATTATATTAGTAAGCTCAAGCTGGACTGTTGTATATAGATTTTCCAAAATTCAGAGATTCAGTTGTTTCTCTATACCATTTGAGCTTTTGTTATACCACTGCTTGAAGAATACCAATATTTTTTACGAAAACCAGAGAAAACATATTATTTATGTTGTTAGTACGTTTTATCCACTGGCATGGATCCACATATTCCATGGGCTCCTCCATCCTCACGATGGGCCCCGGTCATAGTTGCTTGTATTCAACTGTTAACAACGACATTCTTGTAGCTTAATTTAAACACCCATGATATATGTATTTATTCTTATTATAGATCAGGGTATATTTATGTAGGTACTTACTTTGAGGATAATATCAAACCGTATTACCATGCAAAGAAAATAGTTCACAATTTCGTTCCAGGATAACATCTCGTTAAAGAATCAGTACAATCTGTTGCTGTTATTGAGATAACAGGTAGGCAATTTAAGTTAAAATGTTATTGGGATAACAGGTAGGCAATATAAGTTTGCGAAATGTCGTAGACTTATCTTATGCCGCAAAATAAATTAATCTAAAGTTTTCTCTTGGAATTTATAAAAATAACTGTTCTAGGATAATTTCTGGATTTACCCGTTCAAGAAATCAATTCTCCTGTGAATTTAAAATAAATTGCTTCACTCTACTTGAAAGCTATCTCCTTGATTTTAATTTTCTTTTTGTTATCTTGTTGCACAAACTGCCACACCATTGATTTTGAATTATGTTTCATAAATTCGTGTAGTTTTCTTGTTAACTAAACACTATCTTACATAATAATCCTGAAAATCTTAATATTTACATCCGTCAAAAAAAACTAATGAATTGACAGATGATACAGAGGTATTTATTCATCTTCTCTCTAAACGTGTGATGTAGATACTTTGTAGCAAAAGGCTTACAACATGGTTAATTGAATGTCGAGGACATTGTACAGAAGTAGAAGGATTACTAACTTGGGCTAACATTTAAACCTTCATTTACCAGATGCTCTTGGTTATAACAACACTGGTCTCCGGTCTGAGCATGTGCTGCCTTGCGTCTTGGTTTCTCATAAGAGACATGGGTTCGTTCGCACCGGCCTGGATACCTATCGTTACTTTATGCGTCTGCATCTTCTGTGACGCTTCTGGCTTGCAGCCAGTTTCCATGGTGTTGGTTGGCGAAATCGTGTCGTTTAAGGTAATTCTTTGAACTAATAATATACATATTTCTAACACTCACATCAATTAGTCCAAAGTCGCATTATTTAACACCAGTTTGTTCAGTGTATAGATGCAATATGTATGATGATGCAACAACAGTAGATGATAAAAATGCTGTGATGAATTCATCATATCACACTGTAATATAGTTTGACAGTCAATATCGATAAATCGCTTTATCGTATTACGTTTCGATGGTCATGCTGGGTGGGCTGGACTATATCTCAATGAGGTACGCTGAACACCAAATAAACTTAAACATTTTCTTAGACAGTATATAAACCTAATAACTATCAAAGTTTTTTTTCTATGATGTTTTGTCCGAATAGGACATCACTCCTATTGAAAATAAATATAAATACACAGCATACAGAAAATGTATACTTACGATAAAACATGGAAATGCCTTACCATATCCCATAGCATATTAGCTGCACCAGACATAGGTTCTCCCATTAAAATGTTGAAGATCCCAATATTGAACTTATTAAACTTTAACAGGAAGATTTTTTGTCGTTGTGGTTCATCTTTGACACGTTCCATCATGAAGTGGTATACATCATCAAAAGTTCCTACCCAGGTACCCAAACTAGTTTCATGGATAGTGTCCAGAAACTATCAGAAAGTGCGTTACACTATGATCCAGGTTAAAAATTCAAAATCCAATCAGAGTTCCAATATAGCGTGGCCCAGTTTATTTGCTGTCCAGAGTGCAGAACATATAAATTTTTATTTTTTTAAACTTTCATGGTCACTAACATTATAGCTATTAACGGGATTGTTACCATGTACCTTGTTTTTTATGAGTCTCCGATATTTCGGCACTGTTGCAAGCGCCATGATCACGGAGTAACTCACTGATCATGTCTGATGTTACTCCGTGATCATGGCGCTTGCAACAGTGCCGAAATATCGGAGACTCATAAAAAACAAGGTACATGGTAACAATCCCGTTAATAGCTATAATATAAATTTTTGATTTAATTTGTTTTATTACATTTTTATTTTGAGCATTTAACTGCTAGATGTTTAAATCAAAATAATATTTTACTTGAAAAAAATCCACTCGGTCCGTTTCAGATTTGAAATTTGGTTCGAATTCTGTCTGAAACCTGCAGTGCTATTCTGTAAGGACAAATTCACTCTTCACGGTGGAATTCGCCGGTGTGATTTGAAATTTATTTAAAATTCGTGATCTAATTTTAAATCACACCGTGGATCCCGAGGTAAATAGTGAGTTTGCTCCTTCAGAATAGCACTGCTGGGCCAAGTAGTATTTTTGAAGTGAAAACTTCCTTATCAGCGTTGTACACTTTTTTTGTATGGGTAAAAAATGTTAAACTCGCGTCAGGTTAAATATGTGGGCTGATCGCGTCATGACACACAATAAAATTGGAAAGGTTGTTGACTTTCAATATATTAATAAGTCTCTATCTAGGACGTCCACGTGGCAGCTTTATTGCGAAGAAAATGCATTTTTTTACAATAGATGTCGCTAGGTGCACTTAAATGTGATTCATGTAAGTTGATTTCTTTACAATAGAAGTCGCTAAGTGCGCTTAAACGTGATTCATGTAAGTTGATTTTTCTGAGAGATAAACTTTTTAATGTTATATAAATTGTCATGTTTGTGTACGATAGCGCAATAAATAAATATTGTATTCTACCACATACATGATAGTACTTTTATACTGATAATTAAAGCAATTCGTGCAAAACTATTCCCTAACCATTCCAAAATATCAAAAATGCACAACGTATAATATTCAAGTTTTCACTTCTGCCGGCACTCCCGGAGTGCAATCCGTCGTTTTTTTTTAAATTTGTTTCCTCATTTCAGTATCGTGGTACCGTGATGGCGGTTACAATGGCGGGGGCTTCGTTCTCCGCCTTCTTGCAAATGCTATTCTTTAAGCCGCTGGCCACTGCTATAGGGGTGCATGTCGCATTTTACTTCTTCTTCGCAATTTGCATATCAGCAGCGGTGTACGTGTTAGTATTTGTACCGGAAACGAGGAACAAAACGCTGGATCAAATCTACGACGCGTTAAAGACGAAAAAAGAAAAAGCTAAAGAGAAACAGCTGACTAAATCTGAGAGTTGTTAGACGTTGAACAATAAATTAATTATGATGATAAAAGCATTTTTATTTCCTAAATTTACAATTGTATTTACACTTCAGATTATATCCATTCCTACCTTTTAGCGCAGAACTTAATAGAATATTTTGTAATCATAGATATGTTACGTTCACAGGAATTGCGTTTAAAATCTGTACCCTTAGCAAGAATCAAAATAGAATTCGTAACGTTTGCTAGTCCGAAATGTCATTGTTAAATGTGTACTGATTTTTAGTTCTCGTTACATATTTTGTGCCGCTGCTGTATAAAATTTGACATTGACATTTTGGTTTGCAAACTATTCGAATTCGATAATGGTTCGTGCTAACGCAGCATAGAGCTGACTTATATCTGCTGGCAGCACCCGTTCACGAGCACGACGCATGAACCAGCCATCTTCTCAACCATATTTTAGGGAGCAAGACTTATTAATATAGATACCGATACAATTATGGCAGATCTGGCATTAAATGCGTTGGAAATAATTTTTCTACGGAAATGAATTCTTTTCCTACTGGATAAACTATCTTTTTGACGCTTAATTTAATAAAATGTCCGCAAATTAAGCAAACAGTCCTTTTTTTATACTAATTTTGGTAGGCATTTAACCGCTCAAGGCTCACAAAATACGTCGTCTCTCTAAAATGTGTGTACACATAAAGATTGACTGCTCTACTACTTCTTTTCCATACCGCATATCCCTCTGCACTCTTTTCTTTTGCTAATAAGCTGCTTTTAATAAAAAGCAGTAGTCCCTCTGCCCTTTACAAAAATGATATATTTTGATGTAGCTGCTGAATCCATTGAAAAATGTGAAAATTACTGCATGTGGATTTTAGGAGCACTTTCAGGTCCACTTGCAGCAATTTTGTGGAATCTCAATTTGATTAATACTATCATGTCAAATTGACTTTGAAGTTTTGATATTTTTCTATGGCTTAAATCTAACTTAAATTGAATCGAGATTTAGCAATTTGCTGCAAGTGGGCCTGAGTTACTTAAACCTTAAATGGAGAACAAGCATATGTCGCATAATCTTTCTTAATTTCCATCTAAGGAATTTGATAAAAACACGCAATGAAGTATAAATCAGATTATAATACAATTAACTGTAATATCGTAATGACATAAGCCGTTACGTAGTCAAAGAAGCTCAAGAACAGCGTGCTTCCCATCACGAAGATGCCGAACGGCTTAAATATTATGACCTCAGCCGAGCTTGCACGCATTACAGATTTGTACATCTTTCTTTCTGTGTAAAAAGAAAATAGAGGTTGCACTAAAACACACAGCTTGGATGAAACAACAATTAAATATAATTTGGGATGGAGCGGTATAATTACAAGGACACAATACATCATAAATTTAAAAGGCTTTAACAATAATTGGAGATCATCATCATCATCAGCCTATTAATGTCCCCACTGCTGGGGCACAGGCCTTCCCTATGGATGGAATAGGGAGATTGGGCCATGACTCACCACGCGGGCCCAGTGCGGATTGGTGAGTGCTAACGACTGCAGATGCAGCCGGGACCAACGGCTTAACGTGCCTTCCGAAGCACGGAGGAGCTCGAGATAGTAATATTTGGTCACCCATCTAATGACCGACCACTGCTAAAGTTGCTTAAGTTCAACGATCGCAGCCGAATGCGCTAACCACTTGCGCCATCGAGCTCCTCCCTAATTGGAGATACTTATATTCAAATTTCCAATAACTTATGTTCTAAGTTTTGCTATAATCTGGGCCTTATTTCACAAAGTCGACATATTAGGTCAATAATATAATATGTAAGCCGACGTTTTGTTGTGGGGTGATCTATTTACTGCAACGATTTCATTAACTAAATCTTCGATACTACTTTTGCTTTTGCGCAATTCTTCTTTGAACACAAAATCAGTGATATCAAAGAATAAAATTATTTGTGTTTTTTATAAAATGAATTTTCCTTGATCACATTTCATCTTTTCAAGCTTTCGCGGAGAGCCATTTTGCAAATACCAATGAAAAACACTACAATTGCAACGCTTTGGCACGCCCCCATTGACTTATAATTTTATACATGGTACAGCCCCAAACTTATGTCAAAAATTACCGAAGATATATCAAATAAGTCAACTTCAAAAAAATTACCCTTGTTTTACAACATATTTTGCGTTGTAGTAAGATACGAACAATTGTAACAAAATACTTGTCATTTTTCAAAGCATTTCCGAAAAATTATATTGGTACAAATACCAGGCCACTCAGAAAGTTTTGCAAAAAAAGTTTTTATGTGGAAGCCGTGGAAGAGGTGTCTGCGGAGGACTGGAAAATGTTTTGAAAACTGGTTCAGACGCATAAAACTTTGTATAGAGGCCGGTGGAGAGTTCTTTGATAAGATTTCATAAAAATATTTTTCTCATAGAAGTTAGATTTTTAGTTTCTCAAAACTTTCCGAGTGCCAAAAGTTCATTTCCGCTATACCAAATATAGTATCGAGCATTTTGAAGAAACCAAAATGCTCTTGACTATGCTTTGCTCTCTATAATCTAGTGATTAATTTCTTGTAATATCAAATTGGTGCACAAAATAATATAATATTTTCTGGAAAAATATAAACTGTACTTTATTTTGAATACTTGCATACTAAAATGAGGCCTGAATACAAAGTGTCAATATTGTCTTTCACAAACGTTTAAAAAAAATACGTTTACTATGTTGTATATATTACAAATAAAATTCAATCACAAAGTACCTATTATATTGAATTTTTCCAGAATATTTTATACCTTTTATTATTATTAGTTCAATTACCTGGATATTTAGTTTTTAGTCGCATACAGCATAAGACAAGTACATCATTTACTTTGGAATAAAATATTTCGAATTTGGTACATAATATAAAGTCATATGAGATATACTTAAGAATTAAACTGCTGAATCTTACTGAAATTAATATAAGTGGGTGCTGAAACAAAGTTAAAATTTATCAGTGTTTGCTTTAAAATAACATAAAGATACTAAGATTTTGGAAATGATCAGCACTAATTAAATTGGGGCACCAGCCTTCCCTATGGATAGAATAGGGAAAATATACTACGACCCACCACGCGGGCACTGATTGGTGAGTGCTAAAGATTGCAGAATCAACTGATACTAAAGACTTATCCTGCCTTCTGAAGCGTGGAAGAGCTCGAGATAATGAATAATTATTAGTCATCCACCCCATAATCTGTATTTGAACTTCCACAATCGTAGAAGGAAGTTAGGCCGTATACACGTAGATAGCTGTCTAGCAGCACTTATAGGTCCGTCCGTTCAGATAATCTTTACACAAAATTAATATTTTATATATATACCTATATATATAGGTTAACACGATATTTAAACAAAGCAAGCGGGTATAAGCAGAAGCTGCCTGGCGGCCTCTCTGACGTGCATAAAGTCCAGCTCAACAGACGAAGATATTTTTTGTTGGTAAATGTGTTTCTCAAAATGCGAAAATAAACTGTACCTATACCTCAAAAAAAAAAAAAGTTTTTTTGTAGACATGAAAGTCTCTACATTTATTTCAATACATGAAAGTGGACAAACAAAGATTTTATAGATATGTCACCGGCAATCTGTATAATTCAGGTATTGAATAAAATACCTAGGCAATGTATGAAATATAATTTTCTATTTTATAATTGTCGTCGAATGAAATACAGCAGACCAATGAACGTTTGATCAACTCACTGTAGATTAGGTTAAGTTAGTGTTGTGACCTAAACTGAGCGCGAGCCGAGCAAGAGTGCCGCGGCAGCGGCCGGTGAAACGCCTGCCACCTGTTATGCAATGTGTTAATAATTATAGATAATAAATAAAAAAAACAAGGAAGACTCGCTACACACATTGCCGATTGCGCATTCGGCATTGTAAAGAATACCCAGGCAAAGTATAAAATGAATAATATTTTATACATTGTCTTGACGTTTTAGGCGTTCTATACATTGCCTAGGTATTGTATGGAATGCAATATAAAAACTATACAGCTTGACAGTAACAGATATACAAGAAGAACTCCATAATATTTTAGTATATTTTGGATAAATCGAAACATCGATTGATAAATAATTTATGTAATTGGCATCAACAACCCATCCTCCCAAAAGAAAGCTTACCATCGCTTATCGGAGCTTATTGGAAGGCCCGATAAGCACTGGCAGATCGACACATATAGCCAGCTTTCTACCTGTATACGTTTTTACCCACTATCAACTGCGCCATTGTGCTGCTTATAGCGATATTTAGCTCTTCTGTATAGAAATTTCGTTATCATCTTTATTTAAAACAAATATATGTTAAAGGGGTGGGAAACAAGCATAACATGCTTGTTTTAAGTATGTGCTCATACATAAATAATAGAATATACAAACCCCTGTACAATTTTGAACAACAGACTACTTAGCGTAAGAAATAGACTAACAAAAAGTACCTTATTGTCCCCGCGGGTAGAGTAGTAGATGTATAATTGAGTTATTTCAACGAGAAAAGTCAAGAAACAATTAAATGTATTTATTACGTAATACAATACCTGTAAAAAGAAACCTTACTCAGTTATTGATTATTTAACTTTACCATAAAGCTATTTTCTCTGATTTCGTCTATAAATATCAAAAATGTTGACGAAACTCATTAGAAGCATAAACAAAGTGCGACAATTTTGCAATAGTAATAATTAAATTAGATTTATTTATTTATATTAAATTTCAACCAATTCCATTCAGTTATTTCCGTGTATTGAAATAGCAAAAAAGATTTACTTATAAACTATTTTATTGCTTTCAAATTATGATACACTTATTAAAGCGTACTACATATAGGAAAAACAAAATACAAGTATGTATCTTAAAATAACATTTAGTGGAGGCAAGAGGCTCAGCGTAAGTGGAGCCAAGCCTGGTCCGTGCTGGTGTTCAGCCTCAACTTTTTCCCTGTGATTTTATGCGGGTCACAACCAGTA